AGCAGCTAGACCCTCCTCCGCGTTCTCCGGCTTCTTGTTCACCTGCAGCCACGACATGGCCGTCTGCACGTGCTCCTCACCGTAGAGACGAGCGATGACCTCCTTGGCCTCCTCCGTGCGGCCCTTAGTGAGCAGCCACGCCGGACTCTCAATGCACATGGACGGCGCCAACACCAGGTAGATGACAGCCAAGATGCACGGGAACGCAGCCAGGTAACGCCAGCCAGAGCTCGTGTTGGCGAAGAAGAAGCAGATCGCCGGGAACAAGATACCGATCGTGGTGAAGATCTGCAGACCCAGACCCAAAGTGTTGCGCATGTGCGGCGGAGACAGCTCGTTCACGTACGCGCCGATAGTACCCGTGGCCGTACCGGAAGCAATACCGGCGATGAGACGGCCCACGGCGAACGCCCAGATGTTGGACACGGAAGCTTCAACCACACCGCCGACGAACATGAAGATACAATTCAGCATCAACGTCTTCTTACGGCCGAGTCGGTCACTGAAGTGGCCGCAGCACAGCGATCCGATCATGGCGCCGAAGATCCATGCGTTCACGGCGAACGTCCACTCCAGCTTCGAGTGGCCAGGGAACATGAGGCACGTGTCCTCAGCCACGGGACGCGCATTGCACTCGTCTGTGTCGTTGTACTGCGACAGGTTGGTCTGCGAGGTGGACCAACCGCTCTGGAACGGCTGCAACCACGACAGCAATGCGCTCGTGTACAGGATGGCCTTGGGCTTGATGAGACGTGCAGCGGCCTTGTTGGCCTCGTCGAAGGCTGTTGTCGCCTTGGGCGTCGTGACTTCCGTGTAGTTGTCAGCCATCGCGGTATATCTCTTTGTTGCTTTCTTGTTGCACTCGGCTCAAGTGTCGACTACTGAACCAAATGAATAATGAGGTCTCTAGCTCGACGACTTTGGAGAGGGCGGGTCCAGTTACTGGAAGCCCAGCAATCTGTGGTGGCGGGTTCGTGACTACAGAGCTGGCGGTAGGAGCGCGAGGAAGGCTTTCACTTGATTTCTGCTTGGTCCGCTGAACGACCGGTTTGTTGCATTATTTGGACAGGGTGACGCAAGCTGATACCACTGTTGGTTCTTGTTTTTGAGCTAATTGAGCTGACAACCCTTTCTGTGGTGTATGGTCTTGTCATCACGCGCGTACCAGCCTGCTTGAACTTGGAGAGTTTCAACTGGGCAATGATAGAAACGGCATCTCTTCGGTGTTAGCCCTTGTTTAGACAACGATATACACAGGTACATACTCGAAATAAAAAAGTTAGCACTCCATGGTGAGCCGGTACGCCAGTTCGAGGTTCATCTCGACGCGAAGAGATGCCAGCCAGCCAAGCATTTGGTGATGAACTCACTTAGTTTACCTTGTGACGAGTTCAACTCAGGCGGACTCGGATCCTCCGCCTACGTTACTCTCTTGGTGAATCCAGCCGCTGAATCCTTACCGGTGTCGACTAACAACTTGCATGAGACGCGCAACAACCTCACAGTCATTGCCATACAGCACTTTCTCTGGAAAAAAAAGTTCTTGCCTTGACTGCTCATAGCTTATGGCCCACCTTAATAAAAAAAAAGATCAAAGTGGGCCGAAACCAATACGCACTTTTTTTACTTTTTTCTTTACAAAGTACCTTTTACAACCAACTTCAACCGCGTTTCTCTGCATCTCTGAAGTTCATCTTTCTTTGCGCGGTCTTGATTACGCTTCGCATAAAGTATCAGAGCCCCAAGGACTCCTTGAAGAAGTCTATCAGGCCCCTTGCTGCCACCACTTCGTCAAGCATCGAAGCCTCCTACCCTTGAGGCCATAAATGGATAAGGAAGTGAGTCTACATGTAGATATTGCGGATAGTACGTGTAGTTTTTATAGGTAGAACGAGCTCCAACTGACTCAGTTAACTCGATTGACAAGTACGGTAAGTAGTACCGTACAGCGAACGGTCACGACAGCATATCAAACTTCAGAACTTCAGAACTTCAGCGGTTTGGACCAAACCTTACATTAGGAAGCTACTCACGGAACACCGTGCTTGTGCCCCCGTTGTATCCAGGTCAAGAACTATTTTGAAGAAAGACGAGCACACGTTCTGTTTCCTGTTGTCAACCTTGGCTCGTGTACATGGGTCGTGTCTGTGACAGGTGGTCGCAAAGGTGAAGGCTGATTGAAGTTCGAGCCGAGCAACGAGCGGTGTTGCATTTTGGTGAGCGTCGTTTGGCCAAGGTATCAAGTGAGAGCCTTTCCCTACACGCTCATTCCGATCAACACAGCAGCGAGTCATTGCCGAGTGTGCTGTAGCTAGCTCACTAGTCACGCACTCGTTCGCTCCCGACGCCGTCGAGCTAGAGACCTCATTATTCATTTGGTTCAGTAGTCGACACTTGAGCCGAGTGCAACAAGAAAGCAACAAAGAGATATACCGCGATGGCTGACAACTACACGGAAGTCACGACGCCCAAGGCGACAACAGCCTTCGACGAGGCCAACAAGGCCGCTGCACGTCTCATCAAGCCCAAGGCCATCCTGTACACGAGCGCATTGCTGTCGTGGTTGCAGCCGTTCCAGAGCGGTTGGTCCACCTCGCAGACCAACCTGTCGCAGTACAACGACACAGACGAGTGCAATGCGCGTCCCGTGGCTGAGGACACGTGCCTCATGTTCCCTGGCCACTCGAAGCTGGAGTGGACGTTCGCCGTGAACGCATGGATCTTCGGCGCCATGATCGGATCGCTGTGCTGCGGCCACTTCAGTGACCGACTCGGCCGTAAGAAGACGTTGATGCTGAATTGTATCTTCATGTTCGTCGGCGGTGTGGTTGAAGCTTCCGTGTCCAACATCTGGGCGTTCGCCGTGGGCCGTCTCATCGCCGGTATTGCTTCCGGTACGGCCACGGGTACTATCGGCGCGTACGTGAACGAGCTGTCTCCGCCGCACATGCGCAACACTTTGGGTCTGGGTCTGCAGATCTTCACCACGATCGGTATCTTGTTCCCGGCGATCTGCTTCTTCTTCGCCAACACGAGCTCTGGCTGGCGTTACCTGGCTGCGTTCCCGTGCATCTTGGCTGTCATCTACCTGGTGTTGGCGCCGTCCATGTGCATTGAGAGTCCGGCGTGGCTGCTCACTAAGGGCCGCACGGAGGAGGCCAAGGAGGTCATCGCTCGTCTCTACGGTGAGGAGCACGTGCAGACGGCCATGTCGTGGCTGCAGGTGAACAAGAAGCCGGAGAACGCGGAGGAGGGTCTAGCTGCTTCCAAGCAGGAGTCCATGTTCGCTCCTCGTTACCGTATGCAGCTTCTGGGCGGTATCTTGCTGTCGTGCGCTCAGCAGCTTTCGGGTATCAACGCCGTCTTCTACTACTCGGGCAGTATCTTCTCGGACGCCGGTATCTCGGACTCGCGTGTGGGTACGCTGATCATTGACTTCATCAACATCTGGCCCGCCTTCTTCACCGGTGTGCTGGCCAACCGCTTCGGTGCTCGCAACATGATCCTCTGGGGTCTGGCTGGCATGTTCATCATGTCTGTGCTCATGACGGTGGCCTTTATCGTGGACGTGTCTGCTCTGTCGATTGTGTTCACTGCTCTGTACGTGATCGCGTTCGGCGTGACGCTGGGTCCTCTCGTGTGGGTCATGACGGCCGATATCTTCCCGGACGCCATCCGTGCCAGCGCTTCGTCGCTCTGCATTGGCATGAACTGGTTGTGCAACCTCATCGTGGGTGTGTCGTACCCCTACATTTCGGACGCTCTGGACGACTACGCGTACGTTCCGTTCGTGGTGCTTCTTGCTATTTTCTTCCTGTTGGCTCTGAAGTTGGTACCGGAGACGTCGGGCAAGTCAGCCGAGGAGATCCTGGCCGAGTACGACTC